ACAGAATCTAATGTATGTGATAGGTTACATACCACAGTCAGTAGTTCTGCAATTTCATATTTGAGTTCTTTTGGAATTCTTGGGTGAATAAGCATCTGGTCCTGGTGACTTATTACTGTTTAATATATCAATTTGTTCCAAAACCTCCTCTATTGACCCCTCAATCTGGGGCAGTCCTTCAGATGTATCACCTATAAAGAATGGATCAGGGGTGGGAATCTTTCTCATCCTCTGCAGTGAGGATCAATGCAAATAATTCATTTAGATTCTCTGCACTGGCCTTATCTTCCTTGAATGCTCCTTTGGCACTTTGATCGTCTAATGACCCCACTGATGGTTTGGCAGGCTTCCTGCTTCTGAGATACTTAAATTAATTTTTTTTTGCTCTTAGTTTGAGTCTTTTACTAGTTACTCTTCAAATTATTTTTTGGCCCGACTAATTATACTTTTACACTTGACTTGCCAGATTTGATGCTCCTTTCTATTTTCTTCAATAGGATTTGACTTCCAGTTTTGAAAGGATGCCCCTTGCCTCTAACCACTTCTTTTACTTTGTTGTTTAGCCGTCATGACGCTTTTTTGGTCATTATACCCCAAATGAAAAAAAATAGTCAACTTTTAATTTGAGCCTCTATCATGGTGTTCCTAAAAAGTTGCTGTGCAGCTTGCAGACATTTCTCTTTTGTGACTGTTTCTTTTAATTTTCATTTAGCTAGCTTCCTCATTTTTGTGTACTCAGCTATTCAGCAATATTCACTTCTTGGACCAGATCCTGTGCTCCACTCAGGACTAAATGAAGAATTGCCTCTTCTCTTGGCTGTGTTCCAGGACAAGCTGTTCCAAGAAGCAGTCATTAATAGTGTCTAGAAACTTTATCTTTGCATCCCGTTCTGAGGTGACATGTACCAAGTTTGTATGGGGATAGTTGAAATCCCCCATTATTTGAGTTTTCTATTTTTCTAGCTTCTCTAATCTCCCAGAGCATTTCATAGTCACCATCATCATCCTGGTCAGGCAGTGTAATTCCTATTGTTATATCCTTATTATTCAAGCATGAAATTTATATCCATAACAATTCTATGGTACAGTTTGATTCATTTCAAATTTTTACTCTGTTTGACTCTGATTTCTTTCACATATCTTTCCCCTGCCAGCATGACCTACTTTGTCATTCCAATATATTTAGTACCCTGAAATTACTATGTCCCATTGTTCTTATTCAACCAAGTTTCTGTGATGCTTATTATATTAATATCCTCATTTAATACCAGGCACTCAAGTTCACTCATCTTAGTGTTTAGACTTCTGGCATTAGTATACACTTTAAAATTTTTTTAGCTATCTGCCTTGTGCGATGTAATTGAATAGGACTCTTTTTCATTGGACTGTTTCTCTTCAGTTCCTACCTGTACTTTATTAACTTCTATCCTGTCCTATTTACTAGGATTAGAGAATCCCCTTTAATAGATTCTCCACTAAGGGAAGTCCAAGCCATATGCTCCTCTGTACCTGTTGGCTTTCTTCTAGCCCTTAGTTTAAAAACTCCTCTGACATTTTTAATTTTATATGCCAGCAGTCTTGTTCCATTTTGATTTAGATGGAGCCTATCCTTCCCGGATAGGCTCCTCCTTTCCCAAGAAATTCCCCACTTCTTAATAAATCTAAACCCCTTCTGCCTACAGCATTGTCTAATGCACTCAGTGAGACCCTGCAGTTCTGCCGATCTAACTGACCCTGCTTGTGGAACTGGAAGTATTTCAGAGAATGCTACCATCGAGGTACTGGACTTCAATTTCTTACTAGCAGCCTAAATTTGGCCTCTAGGACCTTTCTCCTAACTTTCTATAGTTCATTGGTACCTATATGCATCACGAACACCTATATGTATCACGAACACTTGTCTAGATGTCTCGAGATCCGCAACCTTCGCACCCAGTAGGCAATTCACCATGTCGTTCTTCTAGTCATCACAAACCCAATTATCTATATTTCTAATGATCGAATCTCACAGGGATTCCCTCCCCTGGAGAGAGAGAGCCTCAGCGTGAGATGATACCATTACGTCATCTAGAAGGAGGGTCCTAATTATGGCATTGTTTCCCTCCACTCCACTTGGTTGTTCTCCTTCCCCAAGACTTTCATCCTCCTCGATAGCACAGAGACTGTCAGACTGGGGGTGGACCACTCTACTGTGTGTGGGAAAGTCTCATCTATGTACCCCTCCATCTCCCTTATCTCCTCTAGTTCAGCCATTCTGGTCTCCAGAGCGCATATTCTCTCTGAGGGCCATGAACTCCTTGCTGTGAATGCACACACATGCCACCTGCCCACAAGGCAGGTAATCCTCATGTTGCATTCAGTGCAATAAACTGGATAGCCCCCACTCTGCTGCTGGACTTCTGCCTGCATTCTTTTTATTCCTGCAGCTTTTTTTCTTGGGTGTTCTTTGTTTTGGGTTGTTGTTTTTTTTTTGGGGGGGGGGCGGGGGAGGTTGTTTATTGGCCTATCTGGCTCTCAGATTCCCCCTCTAAAGTCCTGTGCAAAACAGCACTGTTAGCTGCTCCTGTTCATGAGCTCCTCTGGTAGCTTAGGAGTTAGCTGTTTAAACCCTTGTTTTCCCTGAATAGCCTCATTAAGAAGCTCTCAGCCTTGCCTAAAAGGCTGCTAGGCTCAGCATATTTCGTTCCCTGCCCCCCCAGACAAACAGACCCCACTATATACTTTAGTAAAGCAGCAAGCACACAACCAACCAACCAACTCACCCCAAGGTCACATAGTCATTCCTCCTTCACCTGGAGAAATTATCTTGCAAAACTCCCGTTATCTGCTCCTGTGCACAGTCATTCAATAGTTTGGTGACTGGCTTAAAAATGCTTAAGGTTTGTTTTTCCTGTAGTAAATATTGCCACAGAGTCACAGGGTCTAGTTTATTCCCCAGCCTGTAACCGATCTCCTGGGAGTGACCCTTTTAGTATGCTGCGTCCCAAGGACCCACACAGTTCCAAAGGGGCAGGCCCGTGGCCTCTACAACTCTGAGACTGGGCCTTCGGCACCAGCAATCCTTGTCTGTCTGAGTGACTCCTTGCAGTGAATTCTGCCAAGCCAGAGTCCTGTAGGAGGCTTATATTGTGCCCTGTCAGGGTGCAATATTCTGAGTGAATATTTACAGAAACACAAGCAGGCTTTTCAAAACAATATAGCCATTTATTAGTCACCTGGAGTACCGAGGTTAGGTTCGCATAGAGAGGCAGAAGTTAAGACATGGGCCACCCTGGTGAAATCAGTGCCATGATGAGCCAGCCCAGCTTTGATGATGGACTCCACCTTTGGCTCCCTCTCTTGTCCCTTTATTCATCCAGTCAGAGTTCCTGAGTCCCTCCAAAAGGGCTTCCTTTCTTTTCAATCACCTTTACACCTGGTTCTCCAGCTCAAGTCACAAGTCCCATCTACTGGGGTTTCCTGCTGTTAGGTATGGATTGTTCAGTCAGTGGGGCATCTTTGTCATGCTGTTGATTCAGACTGTTTTTTTAACAACTCTTCATTTCACAAGACTGCAAGGTGACTCAAAGGCAAACACCTCCTGTCTCCTGTACTGTTCCAGTAACAGTGTTAATCCTTTTGCACCCACTGGGTGGCAATGCAATGTACGGCGGGAAACTGAGGCATGCTAGGTTCCATAAAATATATTAAAGAAAATTCCCATTGTGTCAAAAAATGAACTGAGGAATAACACTGTAGCAGCAAAATAATTATAGTACAGCAGGATATTATGAGTTTGTAAAGTATAAAATGCCACAACATATATATTCAGTTAGTATTCAGGGACTAATAACTCAGAAAAATCAGTGAAATTAACATCAGAATCATATTGCCCTAAACTTTGTGATGAAAAGATGTTGAATTGTTTGGAAAGGAAAATGTTTTAAAGTTTTGGAAAACGTTTGTTTGAGAACTTGCTCAATTGTATTACATGCTGACTTATTTTATTACAGGGTTATAAATCCTATACAAATAGGTTTTGTGATAACAATTCAGACAAACTTATTAGCTGTTGCTTTGATTTGACATGTATTTCAGAAACAAAAACTTGTAAATGTCACTTGAGACTACTGCCAACCATCTTCAGTTTGTAAAATTCCAATGATTATCGTAACAGATGTGAAGCTATGGAACACCGTATACAGTATGACCGAAGAACTGCAGACTGACAACTCTGTTAAATGAAAAATAGGTCTGGCTTATGTACTTGGGAACTTCTTTACAAAAATCTGAAAAATCTGCTTATGTGGTCTGCTGGCAGGTGAAGCCAGTTGTACTGTGTTGAGTGAAACACTTAAGATTTCATCCCTGATTTATGAGAGAGTTATGTTAAAACTCAAAGCTTTGCTAGAGACACGACAAAAAGTCTCTTGGTTAACTAGCAGAGTAGGCTTAGTGAGGGATACGTGCAATAGCTTCCATATTATAGTTTTTATAAAACTGTGTTTGTCAGCATAATGCCTAAGTGTCTTATGAAGAAGGATTACCACCACAGTGTGTGGTGGTCAGGTTGTGAGATGCAAATCTGGAAACAAAGGTATTTTCCTTCACTGTACAATTATTCCTTAATCCTAAAACTTTTTTTTAAAAGTTTGAGCTGCAGGCAAACTTGGTGGCTATTAGCATTTGTAGCTTCTTGTGCCACAGTTCAGTTTTCTCCTGTATGGTCTCTGTTGCTTGGACATTATGATTGTCTGATAACTAACCACGTTGACTGGAACTAATGTGAGAATAGGGATAGGTGATGGCAAGAGAAGGATCATACTCTGCTTGCCTTACTGAAATGAGCATTCCTATTGAAATGAGTGGGATTGCTGACTAGGGCAAGCAAGACTGGTCCATTACTTCACTCAAGGATGTCATTCAACTATTGAAAGTATCAGTAGTTTACTAACCTAATTCTTTCTTCTGCTTTAAAAATATTGAGTTCATGTCAATATTGGCTTCATATTATTTTACAGGAGTCCACTTATCATCACATTCAAGAACTAATGGTACAACTACTACGCACTGTGAACAGGACTGTTATTTCAATGGGGCGAGATGACACCTTGATAGTGAGTAGTATTTTTAAATGATTTGTTTTAAAATGTCTTCAGCATGCCTTAAAGATGAATTTTCATGCCAACCCATTTTATTCCATTTTTTCTACTAATGCTGTATCTGCAATATTCTTTCTTGGTGGTCTTTTGGCAAACTGGTTTTCAGGTTTCAAATACAGTGGCTAAATCATGTTCACCCTCTTAACACAAATGGGCCTGTTAAAGATGGGGTGAGCACAACCCTGAATATTGCTAGCAGGATTTGGGCCTTAGCCACTCTCCTGTTTATATGTTAATCCCTTCTGTGTTGAAGTGAGTTATTGAATACTTGTGTTTTAAGGGAGAGTCTACCTCACAGAAAGCAGTGTTTCTGTTGATTTAAAATTAAAGTACCTGCTTAAAGTTGGTTGTCTGAATAGCTTATAAAATGATTTTACCTGCAGCCCCTTCAACGTTTCTTCTGATGAGTTTCAGAGATCTCTTGCTTTGCAGAGCATTAGGACATTATCCTTCTTATCAGAAAGGAGACTGAGAGGTGACTTGGCTACAAAGTATAAATACCTTCACAGGAAGGAAACACTGGGTACTAAAGGGCTCTTTAGTCTAGTGGAGAAGGGCCAAGAAAAACCAGTGGTTGGAAACTGAACCCAGGCAAATTCAAATTAGTAACTAGGCACAATTCTTTAACAGTGAGGGTGATTAATCATAGAAACAAACTAGGAAGGGAAGCGATGGATTCTTTGACTCTTGATGTCTTCAAATCAAGACTGGGTGCTTTCTGGAAAATACACTTCAGTCAAAAACAAGTTATTAGGCTTAATACAGGGTTAACTGAGTGCAATGTAATGGTCTGTGATATACAGAAAGTCAGACTTGATGATCTAAAAGTTTCTTTTGGTCTTAAACTCTGTGAATCTATGGAACTAGCTGCTTTTTCTGGCTCCATGTCTGGAAGGAAGATGAAAAATCCATCTTTTGTCAATGGCTCTTTACAGTGGGGGAACATCAATCTCTTTTCCCAGTCTTGTGAACGCTGCATGCAAGAGGCCATAGTCACTGGGGATGCTAACCCCAAAGCAGGAGATGGACAGCTCCATGGCCTGGGAATGCTGTGGGGGCAGAGCCAATGGTTTTAGGGTTACTTCTGCTGATCTATGATTTAATTTAGGGGCAGATTCGGCGGTGCTTTCTGCGTTTACTCTTGTGAATAGTCCCATTGAGTTGAAGTACTACTTGAAGGGACTAAAAGTTGCAGAATCTGGCCCTGCATTTGTATGTTTTTTGTTAGGCTGGGAAAGTGGCTGGATGGGTCACAAACTTTGTTGAGACTGATGGGTGTGAATGCACCCTTCATTAATTTAGCTGTAAAGATGAATTAATCACAAGCCTCCACCTAAGACAAAAGGGGTATTAGACTAGGTTTAGACTAGGGTTGCCAGTGTAAGTGGGGGGATGGTCGTGCTATTGTGGGGAACTTTCCTGGCTTATACGCTACCCTGGTGAAATGGGCTACCGAAAGGATCTGAGTCCTCGCTCCCACTTCCTTTACCCAGAGGCCTGCCTGACCTCAAGGGCTCCCCTTTCATATCCTGTGTGGCAGAGTCCTCGTAACCATGACAAGGCTGGGGGTCGAGCCTCCAGAAATCCTGCATCCAGCTCTGTGGCTCCCATTGGCCGGGAACTGTTGCCAGTGTGCGGAGCCCCCTGGTCCCTCCACCTAGGAGTCAGAGGGACAAGTCGCCACTTCCTGGGAGCTGCCTGAGGTAAGTGCTGCCTGGAGCCTGCACCTCTCACCCCCTTCTGCACCCCAACCCTCTGCCCCAGTCCAGAACCCCTCCCGCACCCTGAACCCCTCATTTCTGGCCCCATCCCGGAGCCCGCACTCCCAGCCCAGAGCTTGTACCTTCTCTCACATCCCAACCCCCTGCCTCAACCTGGAGCCCCCCTCCCACATGCTGAACCCTTTGGCCCCACCCTCCAGCCCAGAGCCTCCTCCTGCACCCCAAATCCCTTATCCCCAGCTGGAGCCCTTCGCCCTCCCAAACCCCTGCCCTAGCTAGGGTTGCCAAACCCTCCAGGATTGGCCTGGAGTCTCCAGGAATTAAAGATTGTCATGTGATGAAATCTCCAGGAATACAAAATTGGCAACCCTAGCCCCAGCCTGGTGAAAATGAGTGAATGAGATGGGGGAGAGCAAGCGACTGAGGGGGGTGGGGATGGAGTGAACAGGGAGTGGGGCCTCAGGGCAGAGGTGGGGAAGAGGGTGGGGCAAGGGTGTTCAATTTTTTTTTTTTTGTGATTAGAAAGTTGGCAACCCTGTTTTGGAGGAGGTGCTTTTGCTGAGTATTGTATGGGTAAGAGTGTGTGTGAGGGAGGGCAGAACACACAGAACCAGAGAGCAAGACAGCTTGAAGGAACAACTGAACGCATGGTGTATGGCTCTGGAAGAAGCCTGGGGAGAGGTTTTTGGGTGGGATGCAGGCTGAAATAGTGCTCTTGGTGTTGTAAGCAAATGAAGCTACTTTGAGACACAGGACATTGTGTGTTCTTTGTTGATAAACAAAACTGCATCAAAGAAATACCTGATTACCACCTATTTCTCCCCCTAACTAGAACAACCTGCTAACCCTGAAGTTTTGGGTAGCTGCTAGGGTCAAAAGGGGTAACACTATATCATGTATCTTAGATTAATCGCCAGCATTATAAATTCTTACGCTCTTCTGTAAAGTATCTGCATACCACTTACGTAAAGGTGTCCCAAACATAAAAACATATGACGCTTGTCCTCCCAAGGCAGCAGTGGGTCCTTTTTGTTTCCAGGTGAAATTCAAGGTGTTGCTTTTGATTTGTAAAGCTGAATGGTTTGGATCCAAGCTGTAAGAGAGAGTTATTAGCACTACAGGCAGTGTAGGTACAGTGGGAGTCCCTTAGTCCCAGAAATCATTTCTCCAATGATCCATCAGAGTCCAAATCTTTTACTTTTCAGCACACTATGTAAGTCAAATCTGTGCAGTCAGTTCTTTGTGTGTATGAGAGTGAGAGAGAGATACAGTAAGGAAGAAGTCAGAAGTGGTTTTATATGGAGATCTAATGAATCTGAAAATCAAGTTCGGTTGCACATTGTTGGAAGGTTACTTGTACATGCATGCAGAGGCCCTGGTTTTGAGCACAGTATATATGTGTGTGTGTGTATATATGTGTGTGTGTATATATATATATTTATGTATATAATCTGTAGATGAATATTGCTGAATTGGTTTTGAGTATGGTGAATAATCAAAAACTAAATCTAAATCACAAAGACAAGCTAAATTGCAGCAGACCTATTAGGATGAGTACTACATCATGAATACAGGGTTTGTTGCAGTCAGTTGAAAAGGCATGTGGATAAGCAAATGCTTTTATTGTGATTTATGAGTAAGCCTAGCATCCCATTGTATTCAGCAGGTACATGCCTTTCAGATGCACATGAATATTTTGCTTTAATATAGCCTCTATCGAAACAACATCCCACATATGAAATGTGGAGCCTCTTAACAGAACTGACCTCTGTGACCACTAAAGAAGAATCTCTGTTTTCATTTAAAACAAAATAAAAACACCTTCCTCCCACCAAATCCCCAAAGTAAAAACAAACAAACCACCTAGACTTTGTCCTTGAAAAGATAGCATAGAAAATGTGAAGTGGTGCAAACTGCTCACTAGAGTCGACAGGGATGGAACCACACTGCTTCCGCAATCCATCTAACTGCTATTAACCTAAATTAACTTGAAAGATTAGAACTGGCAAAAGAAACCAGGGCTTACAATGTAGAGATCACAGCTACTGTTTCTCTGGGCCGATGCATCAGAATTGTTTCAACGATTCTTGATGGAGCTAAACAATTTCTGAAACTTCTGGCTACTATAACTTTTAGAAGTGATCTGCATAAGTATACAGTGTGACTTTCTACAGAATGCGTAGATAATCTGAGGTCTATTGTAAACACTATGGTGCTTGGGACTCTAGAAATGTAGGATGCTGTGGGATGGCTGAAGCCATTTTTAGTTAGTGTTTTCTGTAAAAAAAAAAAAAAAAAAAAAAAATTAGCTTTGATGTTGCGTTGCAGCTGTCATTTGGATAGTTGTAAGTTTCTGATTTAATTAAAGTTTCCTTCCTTTTGGGGAAAGCAGAAAAAAAGTAACCTCAAATAACTTATGAAATTCTTTAACAAGGGATAAAATCCACCATCTCATCTAAATTACTGCTGTTCTATGTAACGTGCTACAACTATGGTACTTGAAATGATGCCTGATACGAACTGCTATGACAGTTACTATAACAATGTCAATTTAGCCTAAATCTAGTAAACCTAAACTAAAAAATTAATTAGAAGTACATTTGACTCAGTTTCCCTCTGCTGCTTTTTGGATTTAATATAGTTAACTTTTTTTAAAGAGTTTGTTTACAGTGTGAAAGAATGGTACAAATAAGAGAAATTGACTATACAGGGGAAACATGCAGTGATTCTAGCAAGGAACGCCATTGCACAGAGGGAGCAAATGGGAAAAGCCATTTTCTTTTTCACTAATCTCTTTCAATTACACTAATTAAGCACTACTTGTAAACACAGCAAGTTAAAACATTTCAGACAGAAGCCTGAGTAAGCCAAAGGCATCCCTTTAGATTTTGATCTCAACTGAAACTTTGGAGGGAAAAAAAGACGAGTAGACAAGTTTACACATTTTATTTAAAAATTTAACGAATGCAATAAAAAAAATCTGATGAAAGTAAATGCTTCCCTGCAGTGTTTGAAACAGCTACATTGCAGCACAAAGAAACCAACTGTGAAACAAACTATAAATGAACTGAAAGTGACTTTATTCTCTTATGTGCATTTTTCTCAGCTTGGTCACTGAAAATCAAAGGGGGGGTGGAAGGGTGATGAGAAAATTGGATCTGAATTTTGTTTTGGTATAACAAAGCTGTCACTAGTATCATTACTAAGAACATTAGTTTACTTGCATGATATAAT